GTGTCCTCAGTACATTTGCAGTTATTATTGGTAGCTAGAGGCCAAAACATGTTGTGTTCACTTGAATTCATTTCAGGACCCCAAGAGGACACTTTCACATTTCTGCCATTAATAGTGCTACAACCTACAGTATGTCCAAACAGCACAGGTTCAGGTTTGAAAACAATTTCAGTGACAGGCTTGATTTGCTCAACATAGATCCATTTGTTTCATCTTTTCACCTTGTTAACTTCCTTTGTTCTCTCCGCTGCAGTTTCAAAGAAGGGTGAGAAGTCATAACACAGTACAACTGTTGTGCCCCATTCAAGCAAGTCTCACCTGGGAGAGGTCTGATGCAGACCTGGAACTCCCTCACCTGAAAGATCTTTTTCATTCATTTATGTGGAAGGAACTGATCCTTATGTGTTGCTGGCATCTGTCTGCATCGAGATACGACAGAGTGCATCTCCAGGGGTGAAGTCAAACCACTGTATTAGCAGCACAAAAGTGACCTCCCTGGGGTGCATGCCTGGAGGTCCTGGGCTGGACGTCCCTGGGGTGTATGGAGGTCCTGGGCTGCCCATATGACAAGATACCCCTCTCAGCTTTGCTGATCCAAAAGAATGCTGGAAATATGTTTGGCACCAGCTTAGCTGCAGGAGTTGCCAGCCTTTGTATATTCCAGGTAGGGTCCTTCCACTAGGGTCGCCATATTTAAAAATATGAAAATCCGAACGCAAAAGTTGCTGACTCTACATTCCACTGAAATGAGGATTCACACTAAATAAGTTGAACTTAGGCCCAAATGAAATCAATGAGACAAATTAGACATGCCTTTTGAAGTGAAAGCTTGACAGGGTTCAGTGGGAACCTAGTGCAATTAACATTGTCTGGACCTAATTCGTGATATTTGTGTATGCATCAGAATGCATATGGAAAGCTAGACCTAAACTGTGCATAGTGGTTACCTGTCATCTAAGTAGTTCTCCAGCTGGCAGAAGTAATGCCAAAGGGTCCAGACCATTCTCATAATAGCTTAAGCCTAGGCAGCCATGCTTCTTAGTCGGCTTGTGATGACTTGCTAAGAGCTGAGTGAGCTGGTCATTCACTGCATGCACAGCTGAGTCCAGAATAACTTTTGGAAATGGATTGCATCCACCTGAAAAGCTGATTGAGACTTTGTACAGCCTGCACAGAACCAGGTTTGTTCAACATGGGCTGACCTTTCTTTTCTTTTTAAGTGTTTTGCTAGTCATTTATACAGCTATTGTATATAGCTTAAACTGGCTGCGCATCAATAATTTGTCAATGCAGCTAGTTGACTTTACTGTGTGCCATTAAATCATATCACAAAGTTAATTAAATCCGTCTCCCAAGAACTTTATTTAGCTTTTAATTGCCAATTATGTAGTGCCTAATTTTCTGAGGCAGCAAGTAAACAATGTCATTTGCAGATTTTTGTTTGCTTTCCTGATGGTATAGCTGATAAATTCCGGTAAGGAGAACCCCTTTGGAGCCATTGTGGATGACACTATGGCAGTTTAAGTTTGGAGAACCGTCTTATTTAAAATCTCACTACCGGCTGCGATAAGCTGCATTTCGTGGGAGTGAGGGTGGAGAAGTGTGCCTGTAGTATCAGAATAACCATCCCTGTCTGGATTTACAGCTTGCTGTTTGGACTTTTAAGGCTTCTGGGCATGCCTAGTGATGTCTGCTAAAATGCTTTTGGAGCAGATGCCCTTAATTCCAGGCACAGATAGCTAAATGACAATCAGAGTGCAAGGCTACATGTAAAAGTGAAGAAGGGCAAAAGGGTAGGACATATCTATGTTTTCTGAAAGGATAGCTGACAGCAGAAGAGGATGAACATTGTTGCCAACATTTCTAAAGCAACTCCGGACAAGGTGAAAATTGAGAACAAAACCAGATTTGTCAAATTCCGACAGAATTAATGAGCAAGAAGGGAAGTTTGTAGACCGGACCATTTGGGTACCAAGATCAAAACTGGTGGTGTTAAACAGCAGCAGTGGAAAAATATAGTCCTTTCAGCAATTCAGTCATTGTGTGTGACCTGCTTCTGTTTTTCTATATGAGCGAGTTACTGTGAGTGACACAGAAAGCAATCTAAAGCCATAGCGTTGTAACAGGCTGCCATTTTTCTTTATGGTGAGTTGCTGAGTTGTATTCGGATCTGGTTGATCAAGTTCAGAAATGTGTAGCTGGCCCCTTTGGGCAACGCTGTTGAAGCAGACGCATCTTTATATTTGACTTTCTTCTATAATGTTTTATTCTGGATTGTTTTATTTGATGTTTTAATGTAGGTTGTAAACCATTTTGATCCCCCCACCCCTTAAAAATATAAAGCGGTATAGAAATGAAATTACTAATAATCTTTAATTTGACTTTAAATTTTTGTTTAGAAATATCATAAATCAACAAACTTGTTTTAAAAATAAAGCTGTAAATGGAAAGCCTGTTCATAATGAACACTGGAATTACAAAAGACTTTTTGTTTGTGAACACCATGAACTGAAAAATCAGTGTTATTGAGGCTTTTATTATGATTTAACTTGAATATTCATTTGAACAATCTACTGATGTGAATTTCATGAGAATGGCACATATGTAAATTAAATGCTAATATTCAGTGCTGCTGATCTCTCTTCCATAATTGTTACACTTGAACTTACGTAACAGATAGACGAAGCAGAGGCAATGGAAATACTATTGCACCCTCTTCCTCTTTGTTGTCATTTCTCTATGATTTTGGTTGCTTAATGCTTGATGTGTATGTGCTTTTAATCGCATTGGCAAGAGAACAAATTCCAATTAATGGCTACAAACCTTTGCAGGTTTTGTTCCTTGCCATGCTTTCCCCACAGGAATCAGAAATAGCACATTTTGAAAGTTCTTGAATACCACACAGGTCTCTCTATTTTGCTCCTTCTGCTTTCGTCAGGCAGGGGGCAGGGAATTCTGACAGTTGACTGCATCATGTGTCTCACCTGTTCTTAACACCAGTCAGAAAATGCTAATCCTACTCAGAGGGATATGAACAGGTGACAGGTAACAAAAGCTGCATGTGAGCCAAATCAGCTGTCAAGATTTTCTACCTCCTATGATGTGCAGGAGAACAGGTGTGCAAGCAAGCATCCATCCATCCTCTGGGCACAGAAGTACCAGCCACTCAGGCTATAAGAACAAGTCACAACATGTGACAGGACATTCAGGTTCGATGATGCTAGTCCTGTCTTGGCAGGATAATGATGGCTGTTGTCAGTTTGAAATCTGATTTGAAAGCCCATATTAGAAGTTCTAGAAATTCCCTGGCAGTTTGTTGAACGATTATACTTTTTACCTACAGAAGTGGGGATATCTTATTCCTTGGAGTATTTCAGAGGAAGCTCAAAAAAGCTGTGGGAAGAATGTTGCTAATACTAGAGGGATCCTGCCTCTGCCTCGAGACAAAATCTTTCAGTATGATGCCAATTTTAGGATTTGCTACCTGGACCATAATATGACTGGGATTAAAACAGTGTATTTCCAGGGAAGCTGTAAGAAACCAAACTTTCATCATTACTGGTGGTAATAAGGTTGCCAGACACTTATTGGAAGGAAGATCTGATCAGAAGCTTCTGTAGACTTAGCCAAAGCATCTAAGGTCTGATCACCACAATATAACAAGGTGGCAGAGTGAGCTATATACAGACTGAAAGTGGGGAAAGCATTTCTTCATCCTCACCTACAAAGCAAAGTTCACTGGAAGGAGAAAACAAGCACAACTGGGAATGCACAAGACTACAACTTTTAACTTGGATGTGGTTGCTTTCTGATGGCACTAAAGAAAAAAGATATATATTCCCATCTGTTGTTGCTGGCATCTGTCTGTCTTGAGAGACCTATGGAGTGCAGTCAAGAATTCCACAACTGTAGTCTATGAGTCCAACTTCATTCTCCTGTATTTGTGTGGACCAGAATTAAGGCACAGAGGGCCTTCTGGCAGTTCCCTCACTGCGAGAAGCGAACTTACAGGGAACCAGGCAGAGGGCCTTCTTGGTAGTAGCACCCTCCCTGTGGTATGCCCTCCCGTCAGATGTCAAAGAAATAAACAACTGTCTGATAGGCAGCCCTGTTTAGCGAAGCTTTTAATGACTGATGTTTTAATGTATTTTTAATCTTTGTTAGAAGCTGCCCAGAGTGGCTGGGGAAACTCAGTCAGATGGCCGGGGTAGAAGAAATAATAATAATAATAATAATAATAATAATAATAATAATAATACTTATTACTTATTACATTCCATGAGCACAAAGACTTCCATTTGACCTGAGATGTTATGATAATTCCTTCCCTTGCTGTCTCTGTTTCTTTCCCAGCCCTTGCCCCACCTCTGAAAGAGGAACATGCCATAAAGAATTCAATGCGGACGATGGTTGCTACTTTCTGTTCCCTCATTTTACAACATCCTCCATCAGCATTATAGCAGGTTGTCAATTGGCCCATATGTCATGTTACAAGAAAGATATGCAGTACAAATGACCCATGACAGAGGAAATGAGTCTGCCTTTAGACTCTAGCAGTATAATTCCTGTTAAAAACAAGAAAAGAGAGTGGAGGAAAAGGATCATTTCTTCATTTCAGCAACACAGCAGTGCCCCCCCCCCCCAATACAAGCTTAATCAATATTTCTAGATGTTCATTTCATTGCATTGCAGATTTTTATGTCTCCCAATAGTCTCATAAACATGCTTGAAGGTACCCCATCCTGTTGTGTGAACATCTACCATGTAACATTAAAACCAGCTTTAATATCAGCCCCTCATTTGCAGCTGAATAATTCATAGTTCAAGACTTTATTACAAAGTCCAAGGCTTTATTATTTTTTTTTAAATAGGACTATATCCAGGTAAGTTGGGAACAAAAACACTGAGGCATTTTGTGGGGCACTGATCTGAACCCACCACATGCCACCTTCTTATTTATTTACGAAAATTTTTATATACTCCCAACTCATATCAGTATTTATGTTGATAGCTCAGTCGGTAGAGCATGAGGCTCTTAATCTCAGGATAATGGGTTCAAGCAAAAGATCCTTGCATTATAGGGGGTTAGACTAGATGATCCTTGTGGCCCCTTCTAACTCTACAATTGTATGATTCTGTGATTCTATATGTAAGTACAATAAAGGTGTTAGCTAGTGGTATATAAAGTGCTTAACAGGCTGGGACCAATTTACTTGCAGGATTGCCATATTCCATTTATGCCCACTCAACAGCTTTGATCTGCAGAACTGGCACTGTAACAGGTGCCACATAATACCTGTTCCACATTTGTAAGAAATGTATTTTTAAAAATTAATTAAATTATTTTAATTAATTTAAAAACTGTTTTAAATGGTTGCTTTTAACTGTTTTTATTGATAATTTTGTTTAATTCTTTCTGTAAACTGCTTTGAGGTTTTATTAAAATCAAATGGTGTATAAGTCTTGACACAAACAAACAAATGATCATCCAACCATACAAAATAATCATTAAAATGACTAGTTAATCAAGGAACTTTTTAAAAAAATCAGCAGTATTATTACAAAACCCTTCCTCAGTTAATTAAAATGTGTAACAATTTGCAGGCCTTGGGCCCTGCTGCTGAGAATGTCTTAGTAATGCATTTCAGCGGAATGACAATAGATTAACGATTATACAAAGGTTGATTATCAGCTATAGTGAGGTACCAAAATGCCACATAGACCCAAGAATAAGAAGATCACCATCATCATTCCAAGTCTTAGTATGCATTTTGCACCAGAAATAAGTGTAGTCCATTGAGTTTTGTGTGAGAAAGGATGGCACATGGATTCAAAGGAAAATTCTTGTTAGAGTTCAATGCTCTCATGGAAAAGTAGCTGCACATCTTCATTAGTCATGGTGAGGAGGGGAAGGAACACTTTCCACCAAATTTCAATTGAAAATGGGGGGGGGGGGAGAGACCCACAGGGGAAAAAAAGGCATTTCCATCAGCTGGTATTTCAGAATTGTGGTGTGTGTTGAATTTGTGCTTCAACAGCCATTCTGCTAGGATGAAAGAAGCCCAGGGGAACTCACTGTGAGGTCCCTCCAATCACCCTCTCCGCAGTGGGTGTGCATCTGTGCATGGCCCTTGAGAAAGGAATTAAAATATAAGGGGTGGGGTGGGGAATGAGCTTGTGAAAGGGCATTATTAAGAAAGGTATATTGTGTTTCCCTGAGATGTTTCCTGGATAAAAGAAACATGTTGTTCTTGGCTGTCTCTTGAACTTTGGTAGGAAAAGGGAGGTGGATTAAATATAACGCTATCTTAATTTGGAGTACGCTTCTTCAGGCAGGTCTGTGTTTATTAATTTTCAGCAACATGAAGCGTTTTGCAACTTCAAGTATCTCAAAAGCAGCAGCTGCCTCCCATGCAGTTGAGAGAGACTTTTCCAAGCAGTGCTGGTGAAGGACCAGGATGACCAGCCACGAACAATGGGTGGCAAGTGATGAGTGGGGTCCACCCAGCACAGCTGATGCCCTGCTGTATTCTAGCACATATGACCATTGTGGCCAGTGCAGATTAGTATTAGTGGCTCATTGGTTGCTGTAGTCCTTTGTGCATAACCATAGTGCAGTTGGTAGAACACAAATTCCATTGATTACAATGTAACAGTGATATCATAACGATAACGGAGTATATATGCATACTGTATATTCAAGAACTCTTCATATTCGTTTTAAAAGTCTCATAGGTGCATGGCGTTATGTGTCAGTGCCTCTCTTGTGGTGGCCTCTGTTGTTACCAGTGGTGGAATACCTGTCTTACAAGATTCAAGTAAATGGGATAGCTCAATCAGTAGAGCATTAACTCTTAATCCCAGGGTTGTGGGTTCAAGTCTCATGTTGGAAGAAAGATTCCTGCATTGCAGGGGACTGGGCTAGGTGGCCCTCATGGTCCCTTCCAACTCTACGTTTGTATTATTCTATGATTTTCTTTGTCATGGGTTTCTGGGACCAGGAGGTCCGAGTCACAGATAAATAAATTCAGATAATTGCCCCAGGGTGTGATTTTATGACTTCTTTGTTGACTCTCCCTTTCCATTTGTTTAAGCCTGATTCTTTAGAATGCAAAGGTAGAGATGCTAACTCCTGGAGATGCACTGCTGAAAGAATATTTGTTTCTAATCAGGAGAAGGGGTGAAAGAGAGAGGTATGTGTGACTGAGACCACAGCTCTCCTTCCCCTTTCCCCAACAGAACTTACAGTGCTACTGAGAATTGAAAAATGGAATGGCTGCATGAACCAGAAGCACTGCAATCTGCTGATGATGTGAGGCCATTGCATTTGCAGATGCAATTTACATTGTTTTCAGAGCAATCCTACACTGAAGTAAGTTCCCCAGGATTCCACCTTAATAAGGTTGTTTAGAGCAGGAGTAGTGAATAGGGTGCCTACAGATGCCATTGCAGTTGTAGTTCAGACCATTTGGAGCTGCCATATTTGCTAAACTAGACTAGATGACACAGGAAACTACAAATGCATGAAGTTGTCATATACTGAATCAGGCCATTGGTTTATTTAGTATGATTGACACCATGCATGGGGAACCTCTGGCCCGTTAGTTGTTGGACTCCCTCAGCCACCACGGATGATGGAAATTTTAAGCCAGGCATATCCAACCTTCAGCCCTCCAGATGTTTTGGACTACAATTCCCATCATCTGTGACCACTGGTTCTGTTAGCTAGGGATCATGGAAGTTGTAGGCCAAAACATCTGGAGGGCCACAGGTTGGGGATGCCTGTTTTAAGCCAACCATGTTGGCTACCCTGGCTTATATTTATAGCTTTGGTGCATTGCTTTGCAACTTCGAAACTATTATGTGCCTTTAAAAAATGGCAGCACACATCCCATATCGGTACTATGCCCCTGAAGTGCTGCTTGAAACTGAAGGTGAATGTACATTTGCATAAAATACATGAATAAGCAATGCATTGATATTACACAGGCTTTTCAGCTTTGTGTTTCTAGAATTCAATCATCATTCAGAAAGAGTAGGCCATGTGGCTTGCAGTGGGAGTGGGAGAGGATGGGCCCTCCCCCCCAAGCAAAATGGTTTCAAATAGAATGGGGGGAAAGTGGTCTCACTGTAATTATGACAGACTTAGATCTGAATGGCATTTTATGGAGCATCTCTGAATATAAACCCACAGGCTGTAAATAATTCAAACTGAGGCAGAATTTACAAGAACTCTGGAAACCGGTCTAGCCTCGCTGCACAAATTTAGCTTGCGACCAATAAGCACCAGTTCTAGACAGCGTTTTTCTCATCTTCCCTTTAATCTTGGGAGTCATTTGGTAGGCTTAAGGTGATTAGTCCAATGAAACCCGTCTTAAATAATATCTGAAAGGAATGAAAGAAAAATTGACTTTTTAATGCAGGTAGACTTCCAGTAAAAATAGCGCAGAGCTTAAACATGAGGGTTAATAGCTTAGGGTAGGGTGGCTGATAGAAAAGGCTGACTTGGGGAATGGCACAAAGCTTTGAGGAACAAATTTATTGCTGAAACAAAGCGGGGTGGACCTTGGTCATTATCAGGATCAGAGACCTCCTGTGAAGGCATCTAGTTAGCCTGTAGTCAGCCTGTTTCAGAACAGAATGCCAAGCTAGATGGGGCTTTGGTCCAATTCAGCAGAGCTCTTCTTACATTCTTATGAAACATTTCTAAGTCTATGTTTCTCTGGACAAGCAACAAGATGGGTACAAATGTAATAAATGAATAAATAGGACTGATTTATGGAATGAGCCAATATTTCTAGTCTTCACTGAACAGAGCTGATGCATAGCATATGCATGTGCATCTGTTATTGATGCTGTACCAAAAAGAAACTGGTATATATATAATTGCAAGATAGAAGTGCTGCATATCAGACAGAAAAAAATCTACCTGTAATGTACCTGTATTGTGGCGCAGTGGTCTAAACCATGGAGCCTCTTGAGCTTGCTGATCGGAAGGCTGGTGGTTCGAATCCGCACAATGGAGTGAGCTCCCGTTGCTCTTTCCCATCTTCTGCCAACCTAGCAGTTCAAAAGCACACCAGTGCGAGTAGATAAATAGGTACCGCTGCAGCGGGAAGGTAAATGACATTTCCGGCTGCTCTGGTTTCCATCATGCTGTTCCATTGTGCCAGAATCGGTTTAGTCATGCTGGCCACATGACCTGGAAAGCTGTCTGTGGACAAATGCCGGCTCCCTTGGCCTGAAAGCGAGATGAGTGCCACAACCCCATAGTCACCTTTGACTGGACTTAAACGTCCAGGGGTCCTTTACCTTACCTTACCTTTACTTTACCTTACTATAGCAAATAGTTCAGGTTAAAATAACGTACATTTGGCTAAATGGTGCAAAACATAAACCTTCTGAGCCAGCAAAGGAAATATATGCATGGAGGCAATTTCTTTATGCTGAACCCATTATTAGACTGGGAACTCTCTCTAGAGACTGTATCTTAATGTGCATTTGTGTTGCAATGGAAATTAGGGCATGAGGCATCCAGGGTGTCCTCTCATTTGTACTACATGGTGTGAGGACACACAATCCTAGCCAAATATGTATCTCGTCTCTCTGCGTGTCTACAGTTTTGTATGTAAGTGTATCTGGATCAGGGCACATCTGTAGACCTGAGCTCTCAATCTATGCAATCCCAAAACTAGGTTAAGATATTGGTTAGGGGGAATGGGAAATCATTCATTGTCTTCCCATCCTTAGGGTGGTGTATCTCAAATTACTTGTTCCCTAATTTTGGGACGATGCTTGAAACAAGTAGGATAAATCCCCTGGTGGTCGTTCTTTGGTTAAATTGACTACTTCAGTGTGCAGTGCTGTTTTTCAAATATCTGCCAGGAGCACTAGACACTTTTTAAATGTAAAAAATAAACTAAAACTTTTGCAAGCGTGAAACAGTAAATGTCAGTGTTATACATACATGGCACCACTATAAAATGGAGTGTAGATCATTCTTCAAGGTGATGATGACAAGCTGCATTGCCATGCAATTGGACCTGCTTGACTCTGATAGAAAAACCTCATTTCTTAAATT